AATGCGAAGAAGCATAAAAAAAGGAGAAAATACGTGAACCAGAAATATGATGTACGTCGAAAAATCCATATCGATTACTACTATTACTTCCTTGCACATTATTCATAGGGCAGTACATGTACATGTTGTTGCCGGTATGTTTATATGTGTCTAATTGGAATCATATTAATTACAATGGATTGTTATTAACACTGGACGACATTCTCTTGACACATTCTTATAAAATATTCACTGAATAAACCAACGTCAATATTTTGTTTTGACAATGTCATTGTTGTTCGTTTGAAATTGTCACAATGAACAAAAATTATGGGAGCAGGACGGGGATGCATAAGAAAATATTAATCGAAACAAGTTTTCGAAAAAATTTGAACGTAATTCCGATATCCTTTGTCTTCGTCTTGTGAAGTCATGAAGTGGATAAACAAACAAGAAACGAACGCGATATACATATAAATAATTTCAAATTAAAATTGATTTTCGGCTTGATGAACAAATATTTCGAGTTCACATGATATAAATGTATGCATTTTATAAACACGGTAATATATCTAGTTGAGCTGTTTACGGCGAAAGCATCTTGAAATATGTTTTTTTTCAATTTTTTTTTAAAAAAAGGGGAAAACATTGTTACACATGATAAAAGAACCACTCCAACAATTCTCAACAAAGCATGCCAATCGATCGAATAAATTTTATTTGTATATTGCCCACTCGATCAAAAAGTCATTCCAGAAAACAATGCGTACTATGATGCAAATTGAGCGAGCGAACGAACGAGCCGAGTCGAGCCGAGCAAGCGCATATTGAAGAGAATGGCCAGAGAACAATTTTCAACTATAAATACCGTATATTTGTCTCCAACTATCACCGGAAATATAATTTTTGCTTGGTTAAACGGTCTTTTTCATGCTCACTGAACATTTAATAAACGTAACCCCAATTAACAACGATCAACATAAATTTCCACTGTCAATCGCCGTTTTCCATCTTTCTCTCTCTCTCTCTCTCTCTCTCTCTCTCTCTCTCAGTCTCTCTTTGTTTTTATTCTCACACTCTCCATTCTCTTCGTTTCTGGTTGTTTGTCTATGCATAGCATTGATACGTTGTGATCTGATGATGTTCTTGTTTCAACATAACTCCCAAATTTACAAGCATAAAACGATATGTTGTAATTCAGAGGCGTGAATAATATGCGGCGAATACGTTGTGTTTGGATGGTTTATTTCTCCTTCTTCCATTTGATTCGTAAGATAAAGCGCTATTATAAGCCGTCTATGGTGTAAATTGACAGATTTCGGAGCAAACTAATTCACTCCAATCAGATAGATCGGTGATCGTTTCTATCTAAATTTATACGACGATCTGTGGAATTTCTTCATTTATTACTATATAATCTATTTCTCGAGTGAGATGTGTGTCGTTGTTGCCGAATTCGAATACAATTGGCAACAGTGTGCCACATATTGATATCGCAACTTTGAAATATAACTTGATTTCGCCTGTTTTTGCACGCAAACAAATGTCCCAAAACTGTTTGCTATTTGGTTGATAGAGTTGCCTGTTTGACTTTGACGACATATTTGACGAAGTTTTTGAGCAAGACGAACTTTGAACAAATGAGTGTAATTTTCGTATGAATTTCGTAATTCTGGCTAAAATGTTCTTTTCTTTCTATTCATAATCCATTGGGTTTGGCCCCAGTACAAATCTGTTGGAAAATTCCTTGCCATCAAAAATCCATTCATCCAAGGTCGTTTTACTGCCAACAAGTTTTTTCCTCCCCAAAAGTTTGCAAAGAATGAATCGAAATATTCGAAATGTGCTGTTTTGATATGCAATATGGAAATGCTTACCAAATTGCATGCAATGATAAATTGTTTCGAAGTTTAAAATGAAATTTCAAGTGTTTGTGTGTAAATATTGTTCAACAAACAATAGATGTGTTTTAATACTGTGAGAAAAAAATTACATGAACAAATAAGTGGTAAACTACTACAATCACGCTTATCTACGAATCCAATGTTGTAAAATGCTCATATATGCGAAACTCCACCCATCGTCTAGAGAGAAAAAACAAACGCTTTGCACGGAACAGACGACGGGAAAAGGGTATAATGTTGAGTTAACCAAAAAAAAATTACCACCAACAGTTTAAATCAATTTTAGCCGACCTTATCGCTTCCCAGGCAGTTGAAATACTCTTTTTTAAATTGGTAATAACGGAGCTTTGGACATGTTCAATCTCTCTATATGCTTCAAGTTGATGGTTAAATATTACCTACTTATTAAAAATGCACATCAAATTATGAATCGAGAATTGTCGAAAGCGATTATTCATTTCCAAATTGATTTATGAATCAATTTTTAACTGGGTAAATGATGCTTCATGATTGGACGTTTTGTGTTCATTGGTTTTTGCTCACTTTTTTGTGGTTGTTTAATCCATCCATTAATGTGAATATTATTCAGCGAGTCGTTGATAGCGACCGTCGGATTCGCAAACCATAAGAATCAACCAAAACGAAGGGAATTTAATCGTTTCGCATTCAATTAAGTCGATAGCTAATATTTTTTTAGATTTCATTTGGGTTGTGACGCGTGCTACAGGAAAATGCAGTGACAATGTGCATTTCAATTTTCGAAATAAATCTCGAATGAAAAAAGTCTCTCTAAAACTTTCACAAAAATGAGACAAACCATACCGGACACCCTGGTGTTTAGAGAAATTTTTCAACGATACAGAAAAAAAAACGCAAGTTGTGAAATCACTAACCAATCTAATTTGATTCTTGAATTGTATTTGTCGTTACGATTATGATCGGTGCTAAAATTTGTGTGTTGAATATTTTTGACGCATGTTCTGCTTCTCACCGTTCTTCATCAACCGCAAAGGTAAGAAGAGAAAAGACAAGCAAATAACATCCAACTTTTTAAACCAGAGTATCTCTCGCAGCCAATGTACATGAATTAAGCCAAAAGTGCGATTGCGATTAAGTTGTGTCCAAATTGCCCATTCGTATTTAATTGGTTGATGGCGTTGATTTCACGTTGTGAATGGCATGAAAATGCAAATATAAGCTTTCCTCGCTAAGATTATTTACACTCAACGATAATAAACCGCATATTGATACTTTGGTGACAATGTAACAGCGATAATAACTCTGACGTACACACGAAAAAAAGAAGAAAAAAAATATGAACATTTTACAGCGACCGATTGTATAAATTGTCGCGTTTGTCTTTTTTCTCCTCTTCATACGGTAAATAAGTTTCAGTGCATTTTAATTTGAAAAAAAAAACAATAAATAGATTTCATGAAAGTACATTATTCACAACGATTTCCTAAGCACGTTTTCGCTAAAAAGTGTGTTAATTGAACTTCAGGCTGGAGTTTTCTCTTGATAAAAACCCATTTTGCCACATCCAAGACGCTAGATAATTAAATAGGTACTCAATGTTGAGATACATGCACGCGCGCACACACACACACACAAAGGCATACACATCCATTGACTGATATTGAATTTTATTTTTGAAACGAAATTCATTGATGGCTATTCGTTCGGCCAAATTAATCGGATTTTCAAGCAAATTTCGCATTCAAGTTAACCATGCGCGCAAGCGTGCGCACGCGCCCAACGTTTTGTGGTCACTATTGTGCTGGACTTCATTCAAGCACCAAGCTTATCAGCCTCGTGTGTGTATAGAAATGCAGAAGACTAACGCGTTATCTAGCTCAAACAGCGACATTATTTTTTGTGTCCCTCTCTGTATCTGTCTTCCTATCGTCTTTTCTACTCCATTGGCACTTTATTCTTTTCAAGTTGTCGTTGTTATTGTTGTTGTTGGTGTTGATCGCCGTTGAAGACCACCAAACCAGAACCACATTGTACATTGTGTTTCCTCAAATAATATTAATAAAACAGATAAATAAAAATTTATTTGGTCTTTCCTCTTGAAACCGATTTATTTTTCTACGCTTTTCGTCGATATTTTTCTTTTAATTTCTTCGCACTTTTTTATTTACACATAAGCGCGAGAGGGAGAGAGCGACATTTGGGAAGAGATGATGCTGAATGGACAGACGACAAAACAAATGGACACAACAACAACAAAAAAGAGTGACAAAAAAGAAGGAAAGAAATGTGGAACGTAGAGCAGTATCTTGGGCCTCTCATAAAGTTTTTTAGTGTATTTACGATGCTCTTGTGTTACATTTGTATACCAAAAAAACTGTTTTTTTTTTCTCTTCATCTTCGTCGTTGTCGTCGTTGTCTTTTTATTTTTATTTTTTTTTTTTATACATATACATTCTTTTGATACATCTCATGTGTTTGTAAATTAGTAAGTGTCATTTCATCTCTTTTTAACTCCTAAAGGTGTCATGTTTCGTGTTTAATTTACATTTTATAGTTATAGTTATCTTTAATTTGATATTTGATGTTGGGTTTTTCAATTTCAAATTGGATATATTCTGCCGATATATATCCGCTGTTGATTTTGACTACGTGAACAGTATGCCAAGATCAATTTGAATATAGAATTCCATAAGAATGGAAAACGAAAGAGTTGTAAAAGAGCGACACAGCTCCGAAACAGCCAGAATGAATATCAAAACGAAGAAAAAAGACAGTGAAATAAGAAGAAGAAGGAGGAGAGGAAGGTAGATGACACAAGGATACACACAACGACGAGACGAGACGAGACAAGACAAGCCGGGACACATTTATAGAGTCAATGGTTTAATCGAATGGCAATAATAGATAATAATTTCAGTTCGTATCAGAAAATGGTTTTAAATACGAATTTAATGCGCCCTCGCCGGTCCAAAAAAAAAAGAATAACAACAACAAGATCAAAAACCATACCAGTTCATTGATCGTTCTTCGATGTTACATTTATTTTCTTCTCTCTGTTCCTGTCCCTGTCCCGGTCTCATTTCATTGATAACTTAAACACGGTTGACACTTTAATTGTAACAGCAATACAACACATACCTGCATTACCCAAAAGTTTGCTGATGGCACAATTTGATCACCTATTGTATCCATATAATACATTTGAACGATATCTTGCACAGAAGAAGTGTTTCACACAAGAAGTTTTAGTATGTTTTTTTTTATTTTGCTATTCTGCAACGGGGGTATATCGGTGACTTTGGTGGTATTTCGTTTATTTTTCTTATTCTTCTTTTTCTTTTTCTATAAATTACATACAGGTCTTTTTTCCTTTGATTTCATTTGTTTTTGTTTTTAAGTAACACAGATTTGGCAATCTGTGCAAAATATTCCTGGCTGACTAAAACAGTAAATATTGCAACGATCAACGAAAAGCGAACCATACAGAAAATGAATGTGATTTTTTTGTTTACATTTTATTCGATATTTATCAATGGTGCATGAAATGATACTCTATTAACTAGTATTTGATTCACGATAATGCATTTGAGTGGCCAGTGTTCATGATTTCGTTTGTTTAGCCAACATTTAAAAGCAAAGGCGATGATCATTTATGCTGGTGAAATGTGTCAGGACGATGTTAAACTTTCACTGTTAGCCAATAAAGTCCGTACGATTGCATTGAAATGTTATCACAGAATTGAACAGTTTCGGATATTAATAAACACTCATGAATGGCATATTAGCGGCATTTTATCGGTTAACATGTCAAAACCACACAAGTTTAAATTATATAGTTTCATTGAAAACATAGAATTTTATTAGCGTCTTTATTTAACTGGCATTTTGGAATCAATGATTCGAAGGCAAAATAAAATAAAAAAAACCACAAAACAAAAAAAATTTTGTGTGTTGTTTACGGCAACGAACGATTCGTTTTGAAAATATATCGATCGGACGAGAATGTGAAGAATGTCAGCGCAGCTCACAGTGTTCACTTATGAATGGTTTAAACGTAACTAACTATATAACTAGATTAAAGAAACCAAGCGATCCACTGCGAATGAGGTAATAATACGTGAAATAATGATAGCAACGATATACTCAACACGATATTCTCTCTTCTCTTCTTGGTATTCGTTTTCGTATTCCAAATATACACCATTGAGACGCACAACGAGCGCAGATGAAAAGCATAACCGTAACGGTTCCGATATTTTTCATGTGCTTTATATGCGCGCATTTACGTATTCTCGTCTCGCGCGAGTAGTGTGTTTTAGTGTGCTGAAACGAATGTGACGAACGGGAGAGAGAGAGAGAGAGAGAGAGAGAGAGAGAGAGAGAGAGAGTGAGAAAAACACACACCGAATGAACACACAGCACACCACACAAAATTATTTGTATATTGGCTCTTATGGTGAATGAGTGTGTATGAGTGCGTGCGCGCGCGCATGTTTCTTTATATTTGTATGTGATCTACCGATGTTTACTTTACTGCCAGTGTTTCTTTAAATGACACAAGATAAACTAGGTATTCACCTATGTTCTTTGCTTTCGGATTTTTATACAATGTGCTGCTGTTGTTGTTGTCTTTTCGTCCATACCACCTATCTCTTTTCTTTTTCTTTTTTTGGCTATCTCCCATCGACACGATGGAAATGCAAAGGGAAAAAAGATGAGATATTCAGAAGAAAAAAAAATATACATAAAAAATAACACATTATTGCGTCAATTGATCGTTTGTGTGTGCATGTGTGTGTAAGTATGAAATGCCACGATATAAAATTCTATGAATGAACGCTTTCAGTTTTACGAATGAAGAGTAGAAAAATAAACGGAACGGTTTTCGGTGTAAAAAGCACATATATATATATATATATATATATATCAATTAATTTCTGGGCAAATAGAAAGAATAACAGTAGCAGCTTTTTAAGTTTGGGAAAATGACACTTGAAAGTGGAAATTGGTTAAAAAAAAAACTTTGCAAACAACATAGAATATGATATTGTTGAATAGTTATTAACAACAACACCAATGTGACTTAATCGATATGAATGAATGAAGCGCGAAGAGACACCGAACAAAGGGAGCAGCAAGAGAGCAAAAAGCAAAAACAAAGAGATAAAAAAATAAACGAGAACGAGATCGATTCCAGATGAAGCGCATGCAAAGGCACACGTTCAAGATGAATAGCCAAGAGATGCTTGTAATCGATATGCAAAATTCAATCACAGACAATACACATCCTCTCAATGTTATAATTTATCAATTATCCCAATATGAAATGATTTCAATGGAAGCGTAATTTCAAGAAAGAAAAATACACTTACACTCCAGGAGTTAGACACTCTGATTTATCAGTTAGACATATTTAATTCTCCTGTATTTCTTTCTCTCTCTCTCTCTCTCTCTCTCTTGCTCACTCACTCTTCGCCGCTCGTCAATTCTGAATGACGTATTTTTTTTTTCAGTTGACATCCACCGGAGATAATGAATTATACGACAATTATTGATTACCTACCTCGCATGCCATGATGCGATTGATGATAACCATTTAACCAAATCGAAGGTGATCTTTATTTCTTGAAATTTTTGATGGATTCTTTGAACAGAATCGGCATGCGTATAATTATTATTTATGTTATGAATAGTTTTCCGTTTAATTTGATTGGATCAAAAATCAATTTAATTTTCGATACGGTTCTTTTGGGACGACTCATTGTATATTTCTTTTACAACAATTATTACATTTACAAATTTGGTTTAGTAAAAGAAAACGAATTGAGCACAAGTGGAATATTACACACAGGAGCGTCGTTCATTCAATTTTTTTCTGTCATTTATGCGATTGTCATCTTTTATTCGTGAACGAGAAGAAGAAGACGAAATGCACCATCAGTATAATGTCTCAGCCCACTATTCTCGGCTTACGGTTGCCGAATATTAAAACGTTGTTGGTCATGAATATGACTTAAGCGTTGGCAATTAAAATGATTCGCTAAATTTATATTATTATATGTGTCTTTTCAGAGAAAGAAAAGCTTGAAAGGCACATCACACGTAGCAAAGGTTGTTGAATTCTCGTTTATGGTTGATGACGAAAAAATGTTAGCGAATGACCGAGATTCCTTCATGTGGTTAAATTTTTTTTTTTTTTTTTTTTTACAAAGAACAAGTGGCATAATCTCATGATGAGTCACAGTTTCACATTTCTACGTGTCAATTCTTAACCGTTACATCAGCGTTATCTCGTCGCGTTCTGTATTTGAGGATTTTTTTCAACATTACCACGGCGGCTTTAGGTGTCATCTTATTGATTTTTTTCATTTTGGAAATCGACGTGTTTATGTAGAGAAATGGTTGACCTATTCAAATAGGAAGTACCGGATTTTATTTTTTTTTTATTTCAGTTACAAAGTTTACTTGTTTCTATGAAATAAATCAACTCGATAAAAATGCAATGTTTCAACAATTACCTGTGATTTAGGTGCATATTTCTACGTTTTAGTTAGCAATAATATTGTCATTGTTATATAATTGTTATAAGAGAAGAAGTGGATTCCTTTTGTTATCACTCGAAGTGAATTTAACCCAAAGAACGCAATTCGTCAAAGAGAATGAACCCTTCAATCACATGAATATGGTTCGATTAGTGCGATGTGATTACTAGAATTGTAGTAAAAAGTCAGTTAATTAGTGATTTTCTGTATTGTCATATCATCATGCAAAAATGAACAAATTTTTTTGTTTTTCAATTGAAAATTCAAGATTTTATGTCTTTTATTCTTAATTCTTGCACATTTAATCTCAATACTCATTTTACAATGACAAATTCTTATTTTAAAAATTATTCCTTAAAATTACGTTGAAATTATAAGCGAACCTACAAATTGTAATTTTAAATCAAAAAATTAGTTTTTTTCCACATTATGTGGTGAACGGTGGTGAAAGTTGATAGAAAATTCGAAAAAAAATTGAGAAAATATTTCAGGAAAATTTAGGGACTCTAATAATATTGAATAAATGACACAAAGAATAATATAAACCATAACGTTAAAGAAAATACATTTCAAAAAACCATGAAATGCAGCATTTAATTGGGCGATTGATTTGAATCGTTAAAATAGACTTATTGTTATGCCGAAATGATTCTGTTGGGTGTTTTTTTATGAATCTGTTTTCATGTTTGAATCTGACATGAGGAGAAAAAAAATATCTTTAGTTGTTTCTCAATTTGAGATTATAATCAGTATTGTGTTAAAAAAAAATCGTAAATCTCTTTATTATTTTAAGGCAGACTATGCGAACAATGGAAAAGAATCAGCGGAACGATTAAATGACTGTATACATTCAGTTATGTTTGCTTCTTCGCACTATTGTTTCTTTCATCTGTCGAGACTAAATTGATGGATTAGGCAAGACTAGGATATTGATATAAAGATATAGGTCTGTCGTAAGCATAATTAAAAAATGATTTTATTAACTAAACGCAAATAATAGTTTTTGCAATTACGCAGATGATAATTTTATGATAGAAAGGCGTTTTAAAATTGTCCATACTAACAGTCGATTATTCAATTGATGTTTCAATTTTTGACGTTTAAAATTTGGTATCGTGACCATTTGTCCTTTGGAATGAAGTCTTATAATCTACATTTAACGAATTCAAATTCATTTTTGTTTGGTCTATTAAACGAAAAAAATATGCCCAGCTTTTTTTTCTCACAACATAACCGAGTGTTTTTTCCGCATAAAGGAGGCTTCATCAAATTTTCAACGATACAATCAGATAGCAATTCATTATGTTAAAACATAGGTCGTACGCAGTGGCATAACGTTTGAATTGTTATCAAACAAAAATCGACCGAGAGAGCACGGTTTGTGTTTGTTACTATTGGATGATTGCCGACCAATAGAAATTTAACATCGCGTTGAGCATATTGTTGTCTCACTTCAACCGCTGCACAACCAACCGATCATACGACCCACTGGCACTGGTGTATGCTTTCCAATGGTAACGCCGACTTGCTAGTTTTTGTGAGTTTAAGGTGGTGTTACTAGTAGACTATGTCATTTGAGACAACTGGAGTGTGAAACGCTGCTAGCGTTTTGGGGCGTATTTTAGAATGTTACTCGTTAACGATAATTATAGGTTACCCAACGTTAGAGAGATGTTTTACTAGTGCAATTTTGAAATATTTATTGATTGTTTCATCATAGTTTGGTTTTTATTTAAATTATATTTCAATTCATGGCCGTATTGAGTGTAATAATTCAACTTTGGTTCGTATTTGAAAGAGAGAAATGATTGAAACGCACACATTAAGTTGAGAATAGTGTGAAAGGAATGAAAATGCATATGGTGAGCCATCTATGTGCGAGAGTTAATGAACACTCAATAATAGAAAAACATTTCAATATTTAATCGCACAATATTGCAATTT